TGTTCGGAATTCCAGAAGTTTCGGTTCTGCGAGGCCGTTGGAATGTACGAACCATTTTCTTGGTTTCGAGGTAGCCATTGAGGGAGATGGTTGGAACGCAACCTGTGCTATTGTCGCCAGGAGCAATGCAAATTTCCTGGGTGTTGGGGTTGTCGTGGGTAAGCTGAAAGTCTTGAGTCAAACACAGGTTGAAGGGCGGGTGTTATTAACAGTACAAAGTACTGCCCCGACCCGTAACCATTTGGCGGAGGTTGAGCCAAATCGTATGGTTGGGGCATCCCCGCGAAGTCGATTTGGCCGGGCAGTCTTACACTTGGCATGAATGGTTGGGGCGGTTGCCGGATTGAGGTGCAGAAGGTTGATATGTTTTATTCTGGATCAGCGATGTACTAGCGCGCAGCCATTCTTCCATTTCTAACCAACTAGTGCAATTGGTAAGAGGAATTTTAGTGCCAGCATGAGACTCCTGAGATACGCCGGAAGTCTGAGGAATCTCGGCCTCGGTGATACACGTTGATTTGCAAGAAACATTGCGCAACGTGTCTTCAAGAGCCAAAAGTCTGTACCATGCAGAACGTCGATACTACGCTTTGTAGAGGTGGATGCTGTGTTTTTAAACCACTGGAACCAGGCAGTAGGTTATGATTTACAATAAATATTACTTCACTGGTTTTTAGCGGCTAAGTACTTTCTCAAACGGCATTCTTTTGTAGGCATTACACGATAAAAATTACTCTTCCGTATGCAGAGTGACGAAGCAGGAAAACGGCGATTAATAGCGATGGCGAAACTAATTGCGCATTGAGCCAGTCAAACTCTTATATTGCTTTATTTCGGTTTGACAAACCCTGGCACAGATCAGATGTTTATCACAAGTTCAGTGAAAACAGGCATGTCCTACTTTTACTAACGAACACAAAAGATTGCCTTTCGGATTATAAGTGGTGCGGCTATGGTGGTCAAAGTGCCATTGCCTGTTTTTTTTGGGGTAGCCGCCTCTCGCCGTCGGTTAGCGTAGCTTGGCCGATCGTCAAGTCCAGAACAAATGACTGCCTCATCGTGCATTGTGTACGTCATGCGATCGCACTTAGAGCGGCCAATGTAAATTGTTGGGGTACCGGGCAAGTTGCGCCATGGCACCGAATAAAATGGAGAGAGACGAACATTGATGTTCGCTTGGCTGAGATTTTATTATGGAAAGGTGGATTGCTCTGTAACTGTCACACACGGTGATGGAATGATACGAATGAACGCTTGAAGTAAAGTTGTGAGACTTCTCTATCGAAAGTGGCAAAATCCCAAGTTGTTGGCCGTGAATGCGCGAAATTACGCACATGAATATGGGCAAAAGTTGTCCAAATTCATAAATCTAGTAGAAACAATCTTTGCTTAAATTATTCCGGAGGAAGTGCATTCAGTGGTTGAAGCTCGTCAATTCGAGAAGAAACAGTGTAAATCTTGCGACATACTACAAAATGGCACGTACAAACCGCACTAAGTGATGCGACTGGCAGTCGGTGTGTGGTCAAGACTTGTGTGCCAAACTACATGGTGCTCTGGATATGATAACTAGAGCCGTTTTAATCACATGCTACTCCACGCACTTGCGTTCATTCATTCATTGTCCAAATACGCTATGATTAAGAGGTCATTCTTACTGAGTGGAACGAGTGGATTCACTACCTTGGGGAGGTTGACTTTAAATTGCGGCAAAGTATACGTATTAGAATGAAAGGTGACCAACAGAGTTCGCCTACGAAATTTGCCGTTGTGGGTGAAGACAGCATTGGTCTGATCGTGTAAACACCGGAATTTCAACGATAACCTTGCGTCCACACCGAAAACCGCCCCAGAACAGAGCCTTAGTTTACGTGAAGCGGCATTATTGCACTACTGTTGACAGACACTTATTTTCAGCGCTGAGCGGACGTCTACTTACGCGGCGCCCTTTACTTCCATATCCCCAAATGCTTAGGTATATGTAGTGAATTAGACACATACAGTTCATACCGAACTCGGTATTTCGGTTTGCGATGTTGTTAGCTGTTCGCTGTTAGTTGTTCGTCAACTTTGGCGACATAAATCCTGGCACACCTGATGACCTTCACTCCCTGACGTTCAAGTTTTTGGCCTTCATCGTCTCGTCTACCTTGACTGCCCAATTTAATATGTCACTGTTTGAAGGCTAATTTCTCAGCAATTGAAACACCTACTCCGTAATGCTGTGACCCAATCAAGGTGGACCACTACAAGTCAGGATGTCGGACAGTACTTTTGGCCAGCGTAACCGAGACGATCTTGGAAAATCGTTTGTTACCAACTTTCCAGACAAGAAATCTGACACACACGGTAGTGTTTACTGCTAGTCTGCTCATCCGCCACCAAAATGCTGGTGAGGAGACATGAGTGGGTGCAAACAAAGAACTAGGTGAGGAATTGCGATGTGATCAACATCGATTTCAAGTAAGCTTTCCATAAGCTGCATCATAGGTCCCTTCACACATCTTAAGAGCATGAGGCGTTAGCGAATCATTGCAACTTTGCTTCCGCTGGTTTATTGTTGAACACATATGAAGGACATCAGTCGGCGGACACCTGACCGACTGGTATCCCTCGAAAAGTAGAGTGACTTAAGGCACAGTGCCGAATCCCACTTTGTTCCTAATCCACAACAGCGATCTCCTTTACTTATTATCTCGACGCCATGTTTGAGAGCGACTCAGATATTTAGAGCATTGTGAATGCTCCCTACTACTGTGGTTTACTTTAGCAAAACAGTAGCCTCTCGTCCATGTGGTCTGCCGAAGTTCGCCTCCCGACCAACGCATCCAAGTTGGTATACATGAGCCTAGCTACGAGTGGTGACCATCTATGACGACCAACCACTAGGTCTCACCTTTTTTGTGCGGGTCGTTGGACTACTCTCATGTTGAGGCTTGAAGCCGATAGGCAACATGAACATGGTATAGCGTAGCTGAAGGTAAAAGCTTTGGGCACTCAAACGCATTCCTTGTACATTTTCTGATATTGCAGCCACTCACCTCCACAGCGAAGAGCAACTAAATGAACCAGGAGCTTGCAGTGGTTCGCCTCGCATTCTACGAAGGGACTTTATCCTGACTAATCATATTTTAAAAAACCGTATCACTTTATGGGTGATCAGATGAAGCTGGCTGCACAAAACAGCTACTTGGAATGTCGCAGAAATTTTCTCTCACTCTGGGCTTGTCAAGCATAGAACGCCCATTGGACCTATATGATTTCTGTGCCCATGTCATCCATTTTCAATAAAGCACTCTAATTTTGTTTCACCACTTACATCATGTGACATGACTCACGTTTATCTGGTGGCGGGGAAACATAAAAAGACACTGTACTCACCAGTCTGCACGAGATCGGTACACGCGAATTTACCTGTGTGATAGTGTGGATATTATGACGAGTTCACGAAGGTTCGGCTTACCTGGATGACGAACATTATCTTTGAACATATGAATTTCACACACTTCAAAATAGCAAGGAAAAAGAACATTTCAACAGAATAACCTGAATTCAGAGAGTACGTATCTTCTCAGCAGCTGTGTGCAGATAACCAGTGAAATGAATATATCGTACACACAAAGGTAAAACAATGCGGGAGATGGTCTTGTTTGGATAAAATTAATCGATAACCTCACCAGAGCAAGGCAACGGTAGTCACAAACTCCGTCTGCTTACATAAGTTGAGTTTCAGCCGACGAATCGCTGAAGCTTCTGCAAATTGGAGCGGACGAGCAGTGTTCTGACGATTAAGCATCGTGAACGATTCCCGTGGATGAGGTTAAGGATTAGCTGTACTTACACAGGACCATTTCCCACATTGTCTTACCGTTGGGTGTGCAGCATACTGATTCCACTGATTGTCTTTACACAGCCGATGAGAAGACACGAAATATCTGAATTCAGATTATCCTTTTGAAATATTGTTTTTCTTCTCACCTTTTAATGATTGTGAAGGGAAAATCCTGTATGGAATTTCACACAGACCATCCTAGGGGAATCGTCTGTATTAGGCCTTTTTTACTCATGTTGTACACCACCTCCACTGTTATTCCCCTGTACCATCGTAAAATTTTGCTTAAGTATGGCTAGCCCGCCTGCTGTTCGATCACCAGAGTTGATGCCCAGAAGAAAAAACGGGTTCGACAATCCGTCATCTGAATCTACGCCTCGTTTAGGAAGTTTACCGTACGAAGACCGGCGCGAGTGACTGGAACACTATACTTTGTCCTGTCCTCAAGTGCGAGTCAATCTCTTTATGCCGTACTATGCTTTACATCACGCTGACCTTTCCCGCTGCTTCGATTGCTTCACTTTGGAATTCGCTGAAAAACACGCGGACACCAACACAATTTCGTGTTTTCTGATAATGATGGCATCTCCTAATCGCTGCTGTGTAAAAGCGAGTGGTCTCTGTTTCTAACCGTCTGCGAGCATATGTAATTGAGAGCATATTTGTCCAACCGTTCAAAAAGTACGGGATTTATATTCTGTGCTATCCTATTCAGGGGACGCTTGCTCACTGAAAAGGACATCTCGCATTTCTTATCTCTTTGTTATTTCAAACTAACCATTTTAAAGCTTTACACGAGAACATGAAAAAGATTACTGTACTACTAGATGACACGTACTGTTTTCAACGTTGTCATCACAATTCGATGGAGTTATACATATTTAAATTTTTACTTCTTTCCATAATACCGTACTCCATTTTTCATGTTTGCCGGAGTGAAATCGCTTACCGTTGCTTTGGTGGTGACGCCGTCACCAGCTCTAAAAATTTTAAGACAATTTAGCTAATGCAATCAAGTCTACGACATTTGTTATATCAGTTGATTTGCATCCACTAGGATGTCTTTAACTACTTGTACATTCATCAATCTGGTCAGTAGATCTCTTATTTTCTACCTTCAGACTCCGAGATGTGACTAGTTCTTTTGTGGGTTGCAACAGATACTCACCCCACCTTCAATTTGTTCACTAGCGCCACTGCAATCACCGGATGAGGGTTACTGGGTGTGCAAACCGTGTCGTCTCTCGAGCGAAGATTCCGAAATTCTTGTAAAATACTGTTCAGTCGATTGACTGAAAGGAGATGGACAGTACCAAGAGAATTTGGTTAATATTTAATTAAGGCATAGGTCAATCAATTCAATAAACGCTCTTATCCGTGCATTCACAACAACTCTCAACATGAATAGATCGCAATAAATTAAAGTAAAAAAATAAACCGCTTTTGTTACCACCAGTCGCGTCCCTGCTTACAGTCGTTTTTATGGAACTAGTAGTGGTATTGTGTGCTTTAACGTAAACAGCTGATGTAGATCATGTGGCCTACTGAGTTCACCGTAGGCGGAATCAAGCGCGACAATCGCTGCGTGAACCATTTGTTTGCACACTACTTGGCGAGTAACTCAGATTTAATTGGTCGCATTTCAAATTATCTCCTTGAAATGGCACTCTGCAGCTGAGTTTGTTGTTCATTCACCTTGTGCTATGACCAAAACATGAATTTAAAGCAGTTAGATGCCTGGTGCTTATTTACCGACTAGCTAGGAGATACACCTTTTGATATCGAGATGGGAGAAGGTTAATTTACAGGTAAAATGTGAATGTTAGCTTACTCTCGTAATATGCTCAGGGACAGAACCAAAAAATTAGCAATGACAGTGATAACAGATAAAAAGTGTGCCTGCTGCCTTGCCATCCTGCATTCAAAGTGATCGATGCAACTACGGCTACCTCGAGAATTGATGGAATGATGATGGAACACCGTTTACTAACCTTATATTGTCTGCCAATGTAAGTAAGATATGTTATGCCTCGTGGGTGGGTTAATATCCGAGCAAGTCGGTTGATTGACTCTCATAGTGTAGGTGCAAACATAAAGCAGTTCAGAAGGGCGGCTGGATTCCAACCAGTCACACTGCAAGGCTGATTGCTTCATATTCCTTCAGATGGATATTATGACCAATTTTTCAAAGTCGGCTAATGTGCATGAGGTCCTTGATGCCCCATGCAGGCATCGATGATGTCGACGATGGTCCGTGCTATGCAACAAACCCATTATATCCTTTGTTTCTGTTCGCTGTGATATCGAGAACAATGCTACTTCAGTCTTCAGGTTTAGATGGCGTATTCCCCGTAGGGTTTCGCGTTAACATTTCATGTTTATTGCAAAAATGAAAGGTTTAAAGCGGAAAACCAATATAACTGATTTTGGCAACTTCTTTAATCGTTTTGAATTACCGAGGTCATTCTGAACTAAAATCTAAAGGCGAGGCTCGCAGGTGCGTTTCCACAGAACGTGGCTACTAATTATGTGGGTTTTGGTTGGCCCGTAACCCTGTGCACGTCCTTGAACCTAACGATGTTTCACTAAAATACATTCCGCGATCATTGGACTAGGGCCAAGATACACTTGGTGTAAATTATGACCGTCTGATTATCAGTCGCTCAACATGTCATGGGATCGTCAGTCATAATCCATGTAATGCTCAGATTCATTTATGCACGCACTATAACGAACTCCTTGGATTATCACTCGCGAACACACATGCTCACATGACTGGCGGATATGCAGCCTTGCCTTGCTTCCCCTATTACTTTGGACCTTAGTTTCGGCTTTGTTGAGCACTTAAGAATAGTAAAACCGTGAACCATTTTCACTCATTTAATCAAAGAAGACCGAATACACCGGTTTCGTTATATCAATATTTTCATTTTTCTCCTCAGTGCAAACAAAATACGAGCAAACACATACACGGTTATATACACGGAAAAATGAGAAATACCAATCAAAATTTCCCAATCAAGGCCAAGGTAATGTGATTTATTGCCCCAAAAGTTTCTGTACACATAGCACAGGTTGATGGGCCCTAAGTAGCAACACTTCCCTGATTGCTAACATTAACGGATTTTTCTTGCTCTTTGACACCTTGAACGTGGTCTCCGAGTCCACGAGATGACGAGTTACCATGCAGTAGATGATGCCCGGCTCCGGTACATCTTCTGAACTGTTCCATTTTGTTGCGCCCCCATTTCTACCAACCACTTTGACAAATGTTCAGCTACCCTGAGCTAACCGACAGTGAGTTTCGCCTACGTAAATGTCACCGAAGCTACAGGTGAATTGCTAAATAACCTGAGACGCCGAACTTCCTGATGAGATGCTAGAACGGTTATGAAGAACTAGGCTTCGAGTAGTATGCCTAACTCTCTACTGGGCGGTCATGTAGGCAAGCGTTAGGGCGTGTCGGAGCTTGTGTCCCATATAGTTGTCACATGCTCACCTTCTGAACAGCAAGAACAAATAAACCTCATTTTCTCTGTCATTAGCTCCAACCGTTTTCATCTTGCGGGGCCTGCTGTGGATCCGTTAATAATCAACTTGCAGAGAAATAAAGCCAACCTGACCAGGATCGCCTCGTCGCAAACCGACGCCTGTCTTGAAATATATTAAAACTTCTTCGCGATACAGAAGCGATTCGCATACGCGCTCACTAAATTGTCATCGCTTTGCGAATTGAAATTTGAGACATTTTACGCTTATATTTTCCGTCGCACTAGAGCAAAAGCAGTGCGCAGCCTGCAGGGTCGTCTTGCAAAGGCTATCAGTGCTTGCTTTTTTACTGATTGCTTGAAGCACGTATACATTCTGCTATCTGCTCAGTTTATCCTCAGGCAATTGAAAGTAATCTCGTTTGGACAAATATGCCTCTAACCGCCAGGGACTTTTTCGCGGCTTTCGGCTGTTCTAAATTCGATTCATCTCAATCAATCGGTATCTCCTGAGGTGGAACAACGCGGTAGATTTCTGGTTTGGGATATACTCTTCAGGACACGGACCGAATGTACATTGCAGCGCACCGTTCACAGCAGAGTGACTTCCAGCCTCTCTCCGGTATCACACAAATGAGGCCTAATGCTAACTCTCGTCTGAAGAGCCAGACCTATCTGCAACCCCGGAATGTTAAAACCCCAAGAAGAATTTCTGTTAATGACTTTAATGTCCAGTAGGTATCTTGTCGAGTTCCATCAAATCCACCACATGCCTTCAAGGGAGAAAACACGGGGCCAACAGCACACATGGGAAACTAACCGATTACATAACTGTCGAATCTGTGGAAATGACATGGTAACCTAGGCAGTCAAAGGCTTTCGAAAGTCCAGTAATTGCGCCGATCCAAACCGTAGTATCACTGTTCTTTTTAATGAATTGGTGCATGCTGTCGGTAGATAGTGCGCGGCTGGTATCAGTGGAAGTCTTTCATCCGCAGTGTCATGATAGCTTTTCTTTCCATAGGATCCACTGACGTCTCAGCAACGATTTCGTGCATCAGTTTTGTCGGCATCGGAATGAGAGTAAATGGATATCCATTTGTTGGCGGTACACGGCTGCCACCCTCCAAAGTTGGTGAAGGAGAATGAAGAAGATAACCTTAAGCTTAACATTTATCGGGACGGTCCACCTATCAGGTTGGCGACTATGCGAGTCTGACTCCCATCGCTTGGAAACGCTAGATGTTATGGTTCGCAACAGACATCAGTGGCAACCGTGTTGTTCAACCGTATCATCTATCAGTTAGTGTTTGATGGCCAAAAAGCAAAGAAAAGTAAAATTGCGTCTGTAAAACAAACGTCATTTTCCTCTACTAATTTACTTCATTTCCCCTTTTTGCCATGGTTCTGATGACATATTGTATATTATCAGGTTGTGAACACACACACGCACACACACATTCACACACATATATAAATAATGCAGTTAGATTCCTTTAACAATTTGACAAGCACGAAACGAAGACGAAAGGTGACAGAAGCATGTAACTGGTTGTCTCCTCAGTACCATCAAATTTAAGCGATATATATATATATATATATGTATATATATAAAGCACAGTTGTGAAGCGCACCTTGTTCGATAACTCCCATCACATCTCTGCTGTTATAAAATGGAAACTTGAAACAGGATGGAGAGATGAAACACGGTAGAGATTGTGGGGGCTCGGATCTCAGTTCACACGGAAATGCCCCGGAAGCAGCAGGAGATCGGGACTAACGCGGAGACTGGGAACGGTAATCGTCAACCCAGCTCGTGGCCTACAATGCAAGCCGGGAAGGGGTCGTCAGCGACAAACGATACCGCGGCCACGCCGAGAAGAACAAGAGGCGACATGAAAGGGAGCCCGATTTTCCCAAGAGATATGCCTTTATCTACGGCCCCAGGAATCGGCCCGACCAGAGTAACACAGCCCCGAGCAAGCAAGTCGAGAGCTTTGGTACAAATCCAGTCTGGATAGGCTGCAACGCAAGGGAGCAGAAATGTGGGCGGAAAACGGCACATTCAATGTCCACGTCGGATCAGTCTAATGGCGCTTAGTGGACACCACTTCACTCGGCGGAACGTGGTGCGTCGTAAGTGGGAAACGCGGCTATATTTGTGTGTGTGCGCGGGACACGTGTGTGAACCTCTCAGCGTGCTATAAACAGCGTTTTCCCCTACCGTGTCGTTATCGCTACAAGATTAACGGAATCAGAAAGAGACACTTTTACATTTTCTATAAAGAACACAATCGGTGCAATTTACTGAACTGGCACCAGAGATGTGTAAAGAAGGTTAGATTCATACTGTACACATGTTAATGGCGCAGCTATGTGTATGAACTAGATAACCATTCTAACCTTTTGCGAAGCTCGCCAAATGGAGCCGATTGACGCGACTAGTGTGACAGACACGAGCACATGACATCGTGCGCAAAGTTGTTGATATCTTAACTCGTCGTGTCATCGTTGTAATCAACTGTAGCTATTTCGATGTACCCTCAACGCAACTGTTTAACTGAACCGCTGACGTTTCCTTGCCTGCGTGTCAAATGCTGACGTTGTAATTCTGGCACTCTAAGAGCACGTGGACGTATGTGTAACGTTTACGATATGCTTGCATCGCCATGCCAAGCGGCCAAGTTTCACACAAATGTAGTCCTACTAACCTGGCTTATGACATCCTGTCAGGGTGAACAGTGAACTTGCATTATGACAAACGCGACTTCGTCCTCAGACTAATTGTCTAAACGGATAGGAAA